TATATATATATTTTATATATATATATAAAAAAAATTTTTGTTAACACTTACCTTCTACTTCTATGTCTGTCTGAGAATTGCTTTTTCCTTTACTCAAAGACTTGCTTTTGGTAGAACCTGTGCTTATACCAGCTGCATCCTGTCCTTTTGTAAGTCCATTATGTTCACTTATAGGAGAATGACATTTCTGAGGAGACGATGGAGGACTGTTTAACTTATCCTTCTGAGTTCCATGACGATCTTTTAATTTTTTTTGTAACCTTTCATATGTTTTACTAGACCTTTCATCTCTAAAGTTGGATCTTCCATGAGCAGGCAGAGTATCTAAATTAAAGTAAAGAAGAAAAAAAAAAACCAAAACACTAAGAACAGAATGTAATTAAAAATCTATTAAAAAATGCTATGTGCATTAAGTGCACGCTTGTGTGTAAAATGACATCTCTACTCCTGTTGGAAAACTGAGGTGTCCAGCAGGTAAACTAATATACCCTAATCGGACATAAACAACATGTTAGGGGAGAAAGTGCAATCTTTCCTTCCCACATCTTTTTCCTACTTAAAAATTATTCTTGAAATGTTTCTGTAACCTTCCTTGATCTGTAAGGTACAGGATAAAGTACCTTTAGAAAACATAGAAAACACACTTTATTACATGGGAGGAGGTTTGCTCTAATGCTGAATAAAAAATACAGAAGTTTTAAGTTTTGGAATGCAACTACAGCTCTATTACTTTAACGGTGCTTCAGCAGAAACCAGGGAAAAACCCCACAAAAGTATAGGGCAACTGAAAGACACTAGAAGACTGAAGATATCATGGCTAAGTCTTGTAAGTACACTATACCTATACACAATAACCCAAGGCATTGCTGCAGTACCACCGAAGTCCCATCTCTAAGCCAGAACATGGCTTTGGAAAAAAGTCAGTACCAGACTAATAAAAAAAATTAAACTGCAGATTGGTGAACTTTTCTGTCCAATTCTAACATTTTTATCCATTTCACCTTTATGTTTATAAACAGTTTACTGACTCAAAACTTTAAAACAGTGTATAACACGGCACCAACTCTTTCCTCAATGCAACCCTGTCTATGATAAATGATGAAAGCTTTCAAAAAAATGTATCCTTCAAAACCAGCATAGACTTTGTCCATTTTCAGGTAAGTTGGATCACTCAGCCTGAAGAATGAAGTTCATTATTTGTCGTTCTTTATGTGCTAGGAAGTACAGAAAACAAGATCAAACAAAAACTTCCTTGCAAGAAGGATAAAATCACAAAACTAGAGAACTTTTCAGTTTCTGTTTTTTTAGGTCAGCTTAATTTCCAAAAAATTTGACAGAGGACTACTAGATCAGCTGAGACTATTTAGAAATTAAATTAAATCACTACCATGAGAGATTTAGGTGCTCTTTTTAGAGAACTACCATGCTCTGAGCACTTCTGGTTTTTTTTTTTCCCCCCTTAAATTCAAATTCCTCATATAGGAACCTAACTGTGGGCTTTGACTTCTGAAAGCCATAGCCAAGGTCAGTGGTCCAGAATTAAATACGAAATCTGTAACAAATATGCAACAAATTAAAGCATCGCTAGTCCTCTAATTCCCTAAATCCAAGGACATCTTACATATGTATTTAAAACAAAGCAAAACCAAAGAATCCCACTTTATCAGCGGTTTAGCAAATTATCACCGAATTAATATTTAAAGGGATATAACCTAACAGCAGAAATCTAAAAAATATTATTCCATTAAGAAGTATCCTTTATCTTTTATGCATTTAATTATCATACTCCAATCTCTTAATTTAGCAAACTAAAAGCAAACAGCTGCCATCTACCGGAAACCAAGACATTAATAAAACTATAAATAAGCACCCAAAGAGCATTGAATAATGTACTGCTAGCAAAGTAGTGCAAGGGAGAAGTAAAGTACAACTTAAGAATACAGAAACACTAAGAAGTCCAGCAAGATCAAGACATCAATATATTCTTATCTGACGGCTTTGTACATCATGACTGTTTAAGCACAGTGACTATAAGGAGGACATTTTTAGATGATTTTAGTAGTATCACGGAACACTGAGAATCTACACATCTACAGCGACATGACAAAGCTGTGTTTAGTCTTCCTCTCCATAGTTGCTAGCTTCTTTCTCTAAAAACAGCAGCCTGGCACTGCTCTCTGAAAGTCTTTCAAGGTCGGCACCTGCTTTATAGCAGAAATTTATCTAAAGAAAAGCAAGTCTACCAGAAATGTAAATATTAACTAAGAACCCAACCTCTGAGTTAGTTGACACATACACTTTGCCATTAAACAGTATTAAAGATAGATGTCAATAGCACTACCAAAGACAACTTCAACTACAGTATTAAGTTCAGGTTGGTGGCACCTGATTACTCAAGTTGGACTTCAATATGGAGGTTGGACTAAATGCATACAGTTTTATGAAAAATAGCAATCTTTTTTTCAAAATCTATACTAAGAATTCCTGTTTCATGCTTCAAACAGGATACCTGCAAGACACGAGATCTCAGAACAGTGCTCAGGTACGGATTTAAAGGTTTAATCTGAGCGGAAGGCATCAACTGAATCACTACAAACACTTCCTGCATTGCTTTCCTGGTTACAGTTATGTACAGTTATGTGTATAACTGATACACATAAGAAATAATCTGTATGTTTAATGGATCACTGAACAGACAAGTCAAATTAATGAAAAGAACAACTTTGGAATAGTAAGCTTCAGTAAAAAAACGACTGCTATCTTTATACAACTTTTGTGTATAGCTCCCATTCAAGCTGTAAGTCTGCCTTGATAAAGCCCATAGATTAGCGTAACAGATGCTGGAAATGAGTATTTCCTTTGATAGAACTTGCAATATTCGATAAGCTACTTACCCAGATCCCCATATACTTGTGAGGTGTGATACTGTGGAATGTACTGCGTTGCCATGTCACCGGCTCCAGTCACGGGTGAGTATATATGACGTGGTGGAGGGGGTATCATGGCTGGAAGAGGAAGGAAGCCAGGCAGTGGGGGATGGGGAGGCCTGTGTATCACTGCGTGACCACCAGGATGAAATTCTGGAGCCTGAGGAACCACCACAACCCTTCGAACACCGTTGTCCTCAATAACCTGTACAGTGAGAGAGACCATGCACCAAAAGAGAAATGACAGTCTGAAAGGTATGCTTCTATAGATACTTAAACAAAACTAGGAATAGTAAAACCCTTAAATTTGAGAAAAAGAAAACAGGAGAGCATAAGAAAAAAAAGATAGGACAATTAAAGGGCTATCTATGTTAAGTGTATTAGCTGCAACAATGCCATTAATTTCGCAATGTGATGGGGAAAAATATTGTTAAAAAAAATCTGACTGTAACAACATCCTATAAACAACCAGGTATATTTATGGCATGAGCCTAGCTTCTCCCCAGGGTCCTGCTTCCACCGTCATTCACGTTGCTTGTACACTATACTGCTCCTAGGATTTGTTCTACAGTATAACGTCTAGATTGCTCCCTAGAAGTGATTTGGTGGGCAGATGGACCTCACTCTGCATAAATGGTGAGAGAAAAGACACAACAGTGTCTGGTCTTTGTTCTGTGCCCAACACAGCCCACCAACACCAACCTGGGAGGCACCTGCCATACCGCACCTGTTGCCGTGCAGCAGCCATCGTCTGCATCAAGCTGTTAAAGCAAAAAAAACCTAGCAGGATGGTAGTCAGCCCTCTGAAGACTCCTTCACAACTGAAGGTAGTTTTTAAAAATAATTTTTTTCCTACCCCTGGCTTCGTTAAAATGTCTTGCACCATGAAGGAAGCCACATGCTACTCAGAAAATGGGGGCCTTTGTGGCAGCCTCTGACAGACTCTGGTGTGCAAAGAGGTTTGTTGTGCAAAAATGGCAAATGGGAGATGTGACAGGACAGCCTTCTGCTGAGGGACCCAAGTGCAGCCCTTAGCAATGTTGCTAGAGGTTCAAAGAACCAAAAGCAGCATATGCAATCCCATGATGAGAATAACTGCGGTCACGTAAGATGCAGGGAGCTGAAGTGTGCTGTGCATGGTACATGTAGCATGCCTGGAGTCTGATAATAGCTGGTGGAGAGCAGGCACAAAGGCACAAAGTACTGAAGCAGAAAATGCTCTTCACCAAACGAGGGTCAGTCATCAACTGGACCAGAAACGGGGGTCCCTCCCTGAAGCACATCACAGACAGGGAAGACTGCCATCATGATCCTCTCTAGGTGTTTGTATCGCTAGTGGTAAACTCACAAAAATACATGACTGTTGGTAATATGTAGAGATGCTCTTGGCATAATTTGACTTCTATGTATTGCGGTGTCAATAATTTAGTGTCTGGTATGTCAACAAATTGTTCTCCACTTCCTAGTGAAATGCTGTAAAATAATGCCACAGCAGAGACTGCAATATAAGTTTTCGGATGAAATGTTTATCCAGAAAAGGGGGAGAATAAGAAAGGAATCTGGAATACATGACTACACTCAAAAGCAGGGGACAAGGCAACCATATGACATAAATTTTCACTGACATTTGGAATGAGGTGGGGACATGTACACGTACACCAATGAGTAACCTGGTGCAACAGGGGCAGATCAATAGATCAAAGCACTTAGTGCCAAGCTGCTTTCAACTCCACTGTTCAAGCTTAAGGGTACTATGCTTGGCTAGATTTAGTCCCATGCCCTGGTGTGGACACTTCCACCGAGTCTATGACAGAAAGCTCCTTGGAGAATCAATCTTTGATTTTACCATGTCTCCATTAGGGGTTGGTGTGCATCTGGTACATCTGGAATAGAGCTTCTGCTTTTGTTTTCTCTGACAGCAATCTAATTTGTACACCCCAAAACTATCCTGCTAGCTGAACCAATGCAAGGTAAGTGAGGTTGGTCTAGGAAATTGTTTCAAAACTTCACTACTGTACTGAGAAAAACAGTTACGTAGACATAGCTGTATGCTTCTGGTGTAATGGTAGAATGAAGATCTCTATGCATATGCAATAACATTCAGACGACATAAAAGTATGTACACAATGGAGCTGATCCCACCTTACTTACATAAATAGAGAGCTGGAAGTTAATATAAATGACCTAAGTGAACACAGCTTTAAAATACATACCTACCCTGTGACTTCAAAAAATGGGCTGACTATTTTCAGTTTACAGAATAAGAGTAATTTCACTAAAGATAACGCTCCTCGTATCTGAGGAACCACAGCTATGTGGTATCTTATGGCAGGATATATTAACAGCAGTAAATACGACTAGAACTTCTGCTGTCCAATGAAATTCTCTAAACACTTAAACACAGTTTTAATTATTTAAGTCCTTTTTGCTTACACAAAAAAAATTGCAATTTATCATGAATTTATGAGCAGATTCAGATTACATAGGAATTGTGCTTCCACAAAAAACCAGGCTACTTAGTTTATAATTTATTTATTTTCTTGGGTCTGCTAATAGCCTAAGTAAGTCAGAAATAGATACCCAATTCATAGCAGCAGGGACCTTAAGTTTGATAGTGTAAAATGAAGAGTTTGACAAGCCTGTAACTGTGCCTCTAAACCAAACATGGCCACAACGGTAGGCCTCTACCAGGCAACCACACAGATAAAAACCCTCCAAAAAGCAGTAAAAGTATCATGTCAAGTATATAATTTTAAGTTAAAAAAAGTGAACAAGCTATTTATTATCCTAATTGTGCTAGCAAAACATGTAGTTCTGGCATAGACCTGTTTGGTTGAGTGAACCAACCAAACATCACTGGAAAACTCACTACAGACAGTGAATATAGACAGCTTAGAAAGGATGAATAAAGATGTGCTTTCTTTCAGAGTTTTACAACTACAGTTCCAAAAGAAAAGGAAGGGGAAAGTAAATCAGCTTATGAATTGCTTTTTATTTATGTGACATAAGAAAAATAAATATGCTTTATTCTGTAGCTATCCCCAACTTTTAGCGGAGGACAGTACACTGTACCACTGCCAAACAGGAACTGAAGCAAGCAGAGGCATAATAGAACTAAATGAAAATGGATAGACAAAAGATGGTTATGCTGAAGTTGTTCTTCCAGGCTGATGGCTTTAGGCATTTAGCTGGTTTCCAATTTCTCTCAAAATATATCTGCAGTTGCTGACATTTAAAAATATACTATGCCTGAAGAAACCATTAAGTTACTTTGCTGGGACTGCATTAAGTCTGGGATAACTCTTAGCTCAACAGTGTTAGACTTTCCTGTTTGCAAGACTACTATCAAATCTTCTGGCTTGTAACAGGAACTGATATCATAAACCACAACAGCTGGTATGTTTTGTCAGCGGTAAATACTTCAGAAGCCTTATAAACTACAGGCTTTCCTGGACTATGAGACTTCTACTCAGATGAAAACAGTAGACATGAGCTCATTCCACCTGTACTCTGAGCTGGATAGATGTGAGGCACCTTCAGTTCAAAAGTCAGAGTGCTGTGTTAGCACAACACCTGCTTGCACTAACAAGCTCCAATTAAAGGCTAACGAGCATGCCCCTGCAAGGCCAAGTCCTTCAGCCTGTCTGCTGCAAGTTGTCCTCAAAGGAAGGATAAATTCATTTCATAAATATTATTCAGATTGGCACAGGTTACACAACTTTTTAAACATTAAGTACTTCATCAACTGAAATGAAGTACTCAAGAAACATGGTAACATTCAGAATTTCACTTATCGTAAAAATGCTTTTGGTTCTTTAAAAATGAATTCTAATAGGAATCAAGACTTTTTACTATGATCTAAAGATAAATGGATTTTCATGATTAATTTTAATTCATTTTTCTTCTGCCTGTTTGGGAACTTAACTATAAACGATGCATCAATCAACTTATCAGTCAACTTTCAACAGATGCAAAGGTAAAACCACAGAGCATTACCCTGCCTAACCTAACAGCCTTTTCTTTTGCTAGAGGACAATTTTTTATGCAGTTCACATAATTTGTGTAACATCTGCTGGACACTGTGGGGTTTTTGGTTGCATTCTACGTGTTGTAGTCTCTTCTCAGTGTATACCATGAGGTGCACACTGAGTCAGAGGTAGACTGGTCACAACAACAGAACATCATGAGAAAGACTTACATTATGGAGAGTGGTATTCATCTGCTCTAATTTCCAGGTCTGACCTACTAACCGCTAGCTTTGTTCTATAGTTGAGGGAAACAAAGAGACACCATCTAGAAGGCCACACATCTCATTATAATACAGGTGTCAAAAATAGCCAAGAGGAATCATCCTTTTAATCTACTTTAAAGGATGTCCACGTTAGCTAGCTCACATTTAATTTTCAGGCATCTAAATTAGGAATCACACAGCACAGAAAATCAGAGACCCATTTTAAGGTAAGTTGTGGAAACACGTATTATACAATAATTTATCCCCAATGGACAGCTGACATTTTTTCCATGTTGTTTGCCACACTTTTTTTAACTGATCTGTTTTACTTCTCATCTGCAGGGAACTTCCCAGACATGAACTATGTATGTATACAGAATTATACTGGTGCCAAAAGAAAACACCCACTAACCCAGAATTCAGTACAGGTCCTACATAATGAACTATTTGGGTCATGATTGTATTTTATGTTCAGAGGGCATCAAGTACATTAGGATCCTGAATTCAACAAGGAACTGTGCTTGTTATTGTCATGTAAGTAGTTAATATATAACTAAACAGGCACACAGATAGCATGAGAAGTCTCCCATCAGAGATACTACGGGACATTTCCCCTTATTTACTTGCTTGACCACAGTGACTCTGAAACTTGACACATTAGTTTACTGAATCAGCTATTTTGGTTCTGTTCCCATAATTTGCATGAAAAGAAATAAAGTAAGAATCAAATGAAGGGACATACCTGTGGGGCATATCCAGGAGGCACATAAATAGTAGGCACTGAACCATTTGGGGACATCATTGGAACCTGAGCAGGACCTAAATGGGTTACAGAAATATTCAGTACAGCACCAATTAATAATTTGAGAAAGTTCAAATAACATACTGAACTACAAAGTCTCTGTGAAATATATACAAGATAGCATGGATAAACAAAGGCAATGAACTGTACAGACAAAATTATAGCAAAGGGCACTCTCAGAAACCTAAGAAACAGTTAGGAAAAAAACAAACTAAATTTGAAAAAATTCACCAGCAAATATTTCTCCCTTCTCTGTCAGTAAGCTCACAAAAGAGCTTATGTCAAAACTTCTTAACAGGTGGCAAGTCAAAAGTGTCCCAAGATGAAAAGACAATAGAAGAGACTTTAAAACAGAAACAAAAAAGAAACCCCTATTTGAAACAAATTGCTGAAATCAGATAGTATTCAGTTAAGAGTTGTAAAGAAAATTACTTACAAAATTGCTGCTCTGTTACTATGGACTTATCACCTGAAGTGGTCTTAGTACCAGAGGAGTGGGAGGTGGCAAACAGGACACTAACTTAAGGTCGCAGGGGAAAGCCAGTGTATTACAAACCAGTAAGTCTACTCCTACTAATGGGAAAAGTTGTGATACCATGATGATCCTTGTACCATGCAAACTGGAAAGAGCAGAGTTCGCAGACACTTAGATAAATATGACACAATGGGGATATGTTAAGGTGGCACTTGTAGATAAAGTCCTGCCTGGAAAATCTGGTACCTTCAAAGACCGCAGAGATGCTGCAACATACTTGAATTTTCAAAAAGCTTTTGACAATCTTTCTCAAAGACTCTTAAAGAAGTAATGCTGCCTTTGGTTAAAAAGGGAAAAAAGGAATAACTAACCAGCTTGAGAACAGGAAACAAGAGAAGTAAATGATCAGCTTTCAAAGTGCCTGGCGTGACCAAAGGAGTCCCAGAGGCACGTAAAGATGAATCTGTTCAATGTATTAACAAAATTTCTGAAAAAGGAGATGAACAGCAAGGTAACAAATCTTTGGTATGCACTCAGAGAGCTGCAAAGGATCTCATAGTACTCAATGACCAGATGATAAAAAAGCAGAATAAATAGTGCTGATAAGTACAGAGTAATGCACCTGGACAAAATCAACAGAAGTATTTATTTACAGTGACATGCTGTAAGTTAGCTGCAAATAAGCGACTAGGGAGTTACTACATATATTTCTAAGGAAATACCAGCCGAGGGTTGTTCAGTGGCATTTGCAGAAAGAAAGAGAGCATTAAAAATCATTACTAACAGAAAAGAGAACAAGCAGAAAACATTATTACACTACGCTATAAATCCACACTGTACCTCAATACCTTGAGTGCTATGTGCAGTGCTTGTCTCCACCTTTCTAAAGGAACACAGAGGACTAGAAAAGGACAAAAAAAGAGGAGACATTTACAGTGGCTTTCCACCTGTTTATCAGGAAAGATTAACAAGACCAGGATTCTTCCATCTGAAGATGGTTAAAACCTAAAAGTGCTGGCAGCAGAGAAACAGTAAAAGACCTATTAAAAAAAGCACCCACAAACTGCCTAAAAACGGGAAGATAGATCTTTTACAGTTTCTCATGTGCAAGAGCCAGAGATATTAAATTAAATCACCAGGTAAAGGGTTTAAAACAGATAAAGGAATTTCTCATGAAATGCACAACTGAATTGTGTAACTCCTTGCTTTAAGAACATTGTGGAAACTAAAGGTTAGGTTCAGAAGAAGTTAAGTAAATTGAGAGAAGTAATCCATTAAGGTCTGTGAAAAATACAAGTATTACTTCTGGTTCAGGAAGCTAGAAACAAGAAAGTAATTTCTGTGTGCCTGCCCTATCCTTATGCTCTCCCCTTTAGTATTTGACACTGGCCTCTGTAAGAGCAAGCACATTGGCACAGGCTTCAAGAGGGACTGCCTACAGACGTCCTTACATTCTCGTGTTTAAAATACACAAGGCAACAATTGCTGAAGTTTAATTATTAAAGAAAAACTGAAACACAATATAATCTGACCAGGTTTTGCGGCAAGTGCATAAGGTTGGGATTCAGACACCCCAGGCTGCATTCTCCAAATTTCCAACTCAGTGTAGTGAAGCTACCAAAAGCATCAATCCAACTCCTAGTGAAGTTTCAATAATACTTCTGAAAGGGTGTTCATAGTTCCACATTAATGTTTTATAAACTCAGTTAAGATCTGTAAATGGAAAGTACTAACTAATGCAAAGTACGGTATATAAGATTAACATACGTCATTCTGATAAGTATGAACTTGACAGAAAAATAAAGATAACTATATCTGAATGCCAAGAGCGGGGAAAAAGGAACAAAAAGCATTCTTTAAAAAAGTGGCATGTAATCCAACTTGATTGGATTCGGGACTTCTTTAGAACAAGATACAGAAGTTTTGAAATGTATTTCCTAAAAAGAATCAAAGCTTTATTCTCGAAGTGTTAACCCATAACTGGGGGAGGGAGGGGAGGAGACTTTTTAAGAACAAGGTCTTAATTGAAAGATTAACTGAACTATCTGAACTGTGTAACAGCAAAGAATATACAGGCTACAGTAAGCTATAAATTGAGAACTGAATCTTCTTCAGGTCTTTTTGCTCAGCTGAAACTCAAAAATGTTTCAGTGAAAGTTTCTCCCGAGTATGAAGTGCTAAAAAGAAATGAAAGTGAAGTGAAAAGCAGCGAAAGAGAAGCTGAAAGAGTGCCTTAGAGCATTAGCTTACAATAAATTAAAAAAGGTCAACAGTAACGGAAGCATATTTCTTTTAAGTTGCTATTCAACCAACTAATGGTTAAAATTCTTACGTAAGAAGGTGGATTTTACACAGCTTGTATCTTATATTGCTTACTTGTAGTTTTTCCAGAATGAAAACACTGACACTTTTATTAAACTCACAATTTTAAAAGTTTCAGGTAAATTGAGAATTAAGACCACAATTACTTGTACTTTTTACAGCAAACTCAACATCCTTGGGGATGAAGGAACTCTAACATGAACAGCCCATTTCTTTGTGAACTGGCAGGTATCTCTGTGTTTGGCTTTTTTGTTTTGCTTTAAATGTCTAAAGAATATTGTTTAACAATCTTTTTAAAGCTTACTTATTTAGTGCTTTAATTTCTCTAACAAACAAACAAACAAGCAGTTATCTCCAATCCAGTACAAAGGTTGATCCACAAAGCCATTTTCAGTATACCCATAATCTAGCGGGCACAAAAATAAAGACGTAAAGGCAATATATGAACCTGAAAAATTATTGCAGTGTTAGAATTGAGTCAAATCAGTAGTTTGAAAACTTGCATCCCATCTTTAGCACTTTAAAGTTCCAGAATTAGTGAAAATATAATTTTAATATTCAAGACATAAGGATGCACTCTAATTTACTTCTGATTAGATTTCCAAGTGTCTGTGGAATAAAGTTAGATTTAGAGGAACATTCAAGAAAATGGAAAGCATGGAAGAAAAGTTGGCCGACTTTATATATTAATGAACATAGGGTCTTTATAGTGAAATTACTGATTTCTTGACAGAAAGCATATTACAACCTGCAAAAATTAAAAAAAGCTTTCCTGTATCTAAAGACAAAATGCTAATATGCTATAAAACTGTTTTTTTTTTTCCTTTTAAATACAACTAACGTGAAGATCTTGGCTCTACTTCAGTGAAATACACTGCAAGAGGAATTTTCATGCTTTTAGGTATTGGCTAGACTGGTGCATGACAAAGCCAGTGTGTTTTACCATGAGGTGAGACTGATTCTAAAGCACCAGCAAACAACAGCATCAGGAATCCGTGCTAAGCAAACATCCAATTTTCTATATTGCACATAAATGGAATTGACTTCATCCAAATCACTATATTACGAATGTTGATGACTTGGCCGTTGTAAGAGGTCTCAAATCTTCTATATACTTTCAGGTACACAAGTTCTCTTATATAAGTATTGTGGGAGACAAAACAAACACATAGCTGTGTTTTATACTTTATTCTTGAAAAATGACTCATCAAACACAGTAAAGGTTTATTTAACTCAATGGAACCCAAGAGACAGATGTTTCACCACACTTTCAGTTTATTATTGTCCTGAAATTTGCTGTTTCACTACCATGAAAGGGAAAACTTGTAAAGTCGCTATGTAAGCATTTTGTCCCAAGTTTTTAAAAAAAAAAAACCCAAGGTGCCTATCAAAGATCACATAAAACTTGGAATATGTGTCCTGAAACAGGAAATAAATAAAAAAATCCCAACAACGGGAGGAATTTCTCCTCCTGCACCCCCCCC